TGACGTTGACATGCAATAGGTTTTGGGTCGACCATTGATACACTGTATCTAAGTCACTTTGGAGCACATGTTGGTCGGTGTTCGCCTGGACCCTGCGCCAGATCTTGATATAGTCGGCAAACATTAGGAAGTTTGAAGCGATTCCCTGTGCAAGGTCATTAATAAACACCAAAAACAAACGTGGACCTAGGACCGAGCCTTGCGGCACACCACACTCCACTTGTATGGGGTCCGATAAAGAGCTCCGAACTCTGACCACTAATTGCCGTTGAAATAGGAAGTTAGCGATCCAGCTTAAAAGAGGGTCTCCGATCCCGTAATGTTGCAGCTTGGATAGTAGTATCCGAAGGTCTAGACGATCGAAAGCCTTGGAAAAATCCAGGTAGATCACATCAACACCTTCTCCAGCGTCGGCTGCCTCGGTACAACTACTGCGTGCAATTAATAAATTAGTTGTACATGACCGCTGTCGACGGAAACCGTGCTGTTCAGGGGTGATGAGGTTGCAGTTTTCCAGATAGCACACCAGTGCATCGGCAACTATGGATTCCATGACCTTGGAGAGTATAGGAAGAAGGGTTACTAGGCGGTAGTCGGAGGGATCAGTTCTGCTTCCACCTTTGTGAATCGGGCTTATTATTCCAAGCTTCCACATGGCGGGAACTTGGTTCTGGTCTAAGCAGCGCTGGAGCAACTGAGCTAAAGGTCCTGCCAGTTGGTTTGCTGCTGCTCTCAATGCCTCTAGACGAACGTTGTCGACACCCAGCGAGCTGTGTTTGCGTAGAGAAGTCAGCTTTCGCAATACAGCCTCTGCGGTAAAAGTGATGTGGGTTAGTCCTGGTGAGCAGAATACAAAGCTTGGTAGATCGCTTGGTGGTAAGGCCCTCTGAAACGTGGGAGCATATTGCATCTGCAGCGCGTTTGCAGCTTCCATAGACGTTCTTGTTGGACCATCAGCCGTATTGAGTGGAGGAAATCCTTGCCTCACCTTTCGTAGGCTATTAACGTGCTTGTACAGCAGTTTGTGGTTAGCACTGAAGGTTTTTGCGATGTTCTGCTGATACGCGGCTTTGTCTTCTCTTAACAGTTGAGTGCAGTGGTTACGTTGGGCAACACTGTTGTCCCAAGTTTCCGGTGCTGGAGCTTCTCTGTACACTCGCCATGCTGCGTTGCGTACTGTCATCCATTTTCGGGTTCTGCTCCTAACGAAAGAAACTGATTTGCACTTATTGCAAGCTTGTATCTCTGAAGTCTGTGCAATCAGCTGACTGAGTGTGTTGACGAACTCGAGCCAGGCGACTTCCGGGGGTTCTTCTTCGAGGAAAGACCATGTTGTGGCGCTGACTAGCTGGGCGAGTCGGTCGTACCTTGTGATGGTTCGCACAGTATCATTGTTATCACTCAGATATTCTGCATAGCAGACGAAGTTGAAACTGATGACTGCGTGATCACTGCGACCCAACGGGCAGTCTAAAACCAACGCATCAATCATATGCTCCTCGTTGGTAAGCACAAGATCTAGCACAGATGGCCTGTTACCAGTTCTGAACCGAGTGGGCAAAGTGATGTGGTTGTAAAGAGGAACAGTAGTTACTAGATCTTGTAAATCGGTTTTGAATTGTTCTCCGATCGTGGCATAGGCTTCTAAACAATGTACGTTGAAATCACCCATGATAAGAATGTGAGTGTACTTTTGTTGTAAACTGCACCTTAAAGCAGCCGTTAGGTGGTAGTCGGTTTCGCGTGTTGAGTTAGGGGCGCGGTACACCAAGACAATAAGGCAAGCGTCCATGCCTTTTAACTGCAACCGGCACCAAAGAGAGTCGGGGAACTGCGAGTCTGAATCCTCCACGGCTTCGCACTGTAAGTCGTTTCGGTAATACAGGATTACCCCTCCTCCTTTTGTGAGCCTGTCGTTCCGGATCAGCGACATGCCGGGTAGCGACACTTCAGCGTCCGTCATTCCCGTGTGCAACCATGTCTCGGTGATACCAATGACATCATACGAGCCGGAAGCTTGGCGGTCTTTCAGTTCAGCCAGTTTGTTAGAAAGTCCCTGAGCATTTGTATACAAGCAGGCCAGTTTCTCGGTCTCTAGGAGCCCGCAGAGTGGTGAAGCTGTCAAGTGTGGGAGAATGCCGACCGATGGGAGGTCGGCAGTTACTCGTTTTTTTGATGGGTCAATGGAACCTCGTTTGCAACTTGATTTGGCCAAGGTGCGTCCCAGCCTTCGTTTAGACCTACGTCAGATCACCTAAACACAACCTTCATCCACGGGGTGCCAGAGGTTCCCTCCAACGATAGTCAAGAGGACGTTAATCACGCTTTTGATGTTGGGTGGTTCGCTCCTGAAACACTTTCCTTGGACAATGTTGTGACGCCATCGCTCAAAAAACTACCTCTCTCACCAAATTACGTAGGATGCGGCCCAAGAATCACAGAATTAGTAGTTCAATGAGAGCAAACAGTTACGGTTAGTACAGATCGGTGGCAGAAAAATCGGAAGTCCACCATCTAAACTTCGGTTAAGGGCTGCGGAAGCTTTGCGGGGTCCAGATACGAAAACAGCTGAGACAGCAAACGTATCCGTGCTGATAAGGACCTTCACCTGACTGCTTATTTCGTCGATTCTGAGCTTGTTCTAGACAAGAAATGGGACGCGTCTTGGCCAAATCAAGTTACAGACAATGTATCAGTATCTTATCAAAAAACGAGTAACGACTAAATTCACCTTGATCGATCTTCTTCAACACCTAAATCCTTTAATTCACTGTGGAATCCTGGAGACTGAGAAACTAGCCTGAATGCATACAAATACACAGGACCTGTTCAATAAGCCGGCTAAATTGAAAGATCGCTAGATTTCCGAGCCATATGATATCATCGGTATAACCGAGATGTGGCTACACATTTGAATGATGGACAAAGACCTGTCGTTATCAGGCATGTAGCTCATCCGGGACGATAGACTCACAAAAGCAGGAGGGGCAATTCTGTGTTATCGAAACAAATTACAGTGCGAGACCATCGAGGATTTAGACTCGCAGTTTGTTGTCGACTGCAGTTGAAATGTAGATGCACTTGCCCTATTACCCTGGTGTGCCGGGCCCCTATCTCTGCCCCCAAAACAGATTGCAACTTCGCGACTGCTCTAAGACACACTCTACGAGGGAGATATGTTCACAACGTTATCATGGGGGATTTAAACCTACATTGCTTATAAAGCCCTGCCACGATCGGAGAACAATGTAAAACAGACCTGCAGGAGCCCGTAACCAGTGTCCCGCCTTACGATCATGTCACTATGCCCACACGGATCAGAAGAGTTGACAAACCACGTGTGATGGATCGTGTACTTAGCAACGAGGAACGTATGATTGCTGTGTTAATTATAGACTGCCAGATGGGTCGCAGTGATCATGTAGTCATTAGTTTCAACTTTGCATACTATGCGGAATATCAAGATAAGAACTATGGGACAGTACAAACCATCACATGCTATGGTTGATTAGCCTAGCTCGTCAGCGCTACAACCTAGTCATTCCTTGCCGAAGACCCCCAACAGGTCGTTTGGCTCAAGTTCGTCAACCAATTCAGTCGGCTGGTTCCAGATGCTTCAGAGACAAGAGTTTGCAGTGGGTATAAAACGGTTTCTTTCGTAAGGAGCAGAACATGAAAATGGATGGCGGTACGCAACGCAGCATGACAAGCATACAGATAAGATCCAATGCCAGAAACTTAGGACGACTGCTTTTCTCAACGTAATCACTGCACTCGACCGCTTAGAAAACCAAAGCCGCGAATCAGGAGAACATGACAAAATCTTCAGCACTAACCACAAACTGCTGTACATGCGTGTAAATGGCCTACGGAAGGTGAGACAAGGATTTCCTCTAATCAGGACCGCAGGTGGCCAAACAAGAACGGCTGTGGAAGCAGCCAATGCGCTGCGGATGCAATATGCCATCACGTTTCAGAGGGTCTTACCACCAAGTGATCTTCTAGCAGTTCCCCCACTGCAGTCAGGACTCACCCAGATCTCTTTTACCGCATAAACTGTCATACAAAAGCTGATGTCTCTACGCAACCACAGCTCACCGGATGTCGATATCATTCGCGCAGCAGCAGTGGGGGCAGCAGCAAGACAACTGGCAGAACCTTTGTCTCAGTTCTTTCAGTATTCAGCGCGGATGTCCACCCCCATGTCGAATACGAAATTCAAGCCTGGAACCTACGTCAAAAACGTGACCTTAATGCATTAGAGCAGCCTCAACGTCAGGCATCGAAGTTCGTCATTGGAATGAGCAGTCTCCCACTTCAGCAGTCTGAAACGTTTAGGAGTATTCAGCGGACGGTATCGCAGATTACAAGGCGACTTGATAATAGCCTACTAGATTCTACACGACCCGGATCATGTGTGTCGCTTATTACTGCAACAACAATACTAAAAACCTAGGAGGTCACTTACTGAAACTCGCAGAACACTACAGCCGTCTGGAGTGTCGTAAGAATTTCTTTCATATTTGCCTATGTCACCCGCAAATGATCTTTCCGAATCGGTCGTTAGTGCACAGACATTAACAATATCCAAAATACAGTTAGATGACGTAACCATCCACTTGCACGTTGTTATTTATCACAATATCCTCATTCTACTCCTGGAATATATCCTGGATTTATTTACTATTACCAGTAGGTGCTGTAAAAGTATGCGGATTGTAAGACTAAATCATAAAAGAGCGATAACTCCTTCTTTTCATGCTTAAAGTACAAACTGTTTTATCAGCTTTTGTCGTTAACCCCACCAGACTAACCAAGGGGACTTGGTAAGCAGTGCTTCCTAACCTGTATAAATTCACAGTTCACTGAAATCCTTGAGTTAAGCGGTTCTTAATCCATTGGAGATGAAATCAGTGAAAAATCGGAAGACAAATTCCCCGGATGTTTTTTTTCTCTATTCATCAGCTCATAATGCGAGTCACTGTGTATGTTAACCCCTACGTGGGCCGCGTGGCTGGATTTCACAAACAAGACTCACTGACACTTACTCCACTGGTGAGAAGAGAATGTGTGTTCCGAGGTAAATGGCAGTTGACTATTTTTCAATGACAAAATTCAGATAATAAAGTACACCAAATGTGACAGGCACAAATTCTCATACAGGTACACGTCTCTTCAGTGGGATAATGTTGCATGGCTCCGCAGTCAGTCACTAGACTAACCCGAAGGGGTGCGCCAAGCTAAGCAAATGTATTTCTCGTATTTGAATTGAATCGACTGCATTGGCTCATGTGAGAAGTGCATCCAGTACGACCCGGAGACAATGACGACCTGCCACACACGTGAGTACTCGCTGTCCAGGAACGCCTTGAACTCACGGGCGACTTCAGTAATTTTGTTCTCATTTCCACCATACTTTGCGATGAGATGTTTGAATTTCTCCGTGCACTCATGTATCTTGTAATCGCTCATAGTTGAAGAGATCATTTCCACATCACTGGCAACGTGTGGTCCCTTGCCGTTGCGCTGTTCAATTCGGTGTTTCCTTTCAATACGACTAAAGATTGGGGAAAAATAGATAAGCCATCAGGCTGATTCTACCACACCTCTACATATGGGATAAACACAATGTTACGAGTAGGTATAATAACGCAGATTACAGAAGCCTAAAAGAGCCAGAAGCACATGCAAAACGACAGAATAACCTGCGCAGCAGTGGTTCTCAACCCTTTTGTGGTTGTTATCCCCAAGCGGGTTCACTACAAACCATTACCATAAAATGTTTTAGTTTGAACACTCATTACATCTGTTAACTATTTCATGGTTTATTTTAAATTATGGATAATGAGTCACTTTTAATAATATTTTATTAGAATACAAAACACCTACTTTAGAACCATTTTTCTAAAACTAAGTGGTGATATAAGTTAATGAGATGGTTGATAATGTTTAGTTCCAGAAATTTATGATATATTTAGTGTGGTTTTGCCGAATGCACATCGCAGGTTGTGCTCCAAGTCCATTCGGTTCCTTGCTTTGGTGTGTGATCCCTGATCAAACATGAACAGATGTCAGTGGCTTCTCATTTGTTTCAACCATCCCTTCCAATTCCTTCCTGGATGATTGGTTCCCACCACCCCTGTGTATCGACACATCCTGAACAACATCCTGAACACAAACTCCATGTTTGTGTCTTCCAACTTGTAAACATTCGGGTGCTCCTCTACTCAGTCGGCTGACCTATGCTCTCACCTTAGTGTCCTTTCAACTTTGTAATCTGACCCCGGGCGAACGACTGTCTGACACAAAAAAACAACGATCGACAAGCGAGCCGATAAAGGTGCCATCTAGCTGCGCTGCTTTGCATGTTTGTATCCGCATTTTATGTTATAAAATTATTACTGAAAATTATGTACTTCACTGAGCACTCACTAATGATTAGTCAAAGATTTCAAACCAGTAGCGATTAGGCATTTACTTAAACTTTTTGTTACAGATGACTTTGACATTAAATTTGTTTAGCGACAGATTGATGACCCAATCCTCGGACTTATATTTACCCGCCGTAAAATTCCGTTTTACTCCCTTAGGGGTAATTACCCCCCCCCCCGGGTTGAGAAGCACTGCTGTACAGTGTATCATAGAGGGGGTCCAAAACATGTATAACGCAACGGAAAAAGAGACAAACGTTTACTATGTCAGCAGATAGCAACGAATGTCGACCTTAATGACTAGGTAAAATCAAACACCATTACGTGAAGTAAATCCAAAATATGAAAGTGCAGGAGCCGCATACAAAACGCCGCCAAAACTCACAGTTCGTTCGGATTGAAGCCGAGTCCACGGCAAAATTCATTGAAGGTAATTCGGTCGTCTTTATTTTCGTCGAAAGTAGATAACCATTGCTGCGGAATGAGGAATGTAAGCATGGGTATGGGTGAAAACAGAGAAAAGAGCAAATTAAGTACAAATGTGCATTGTCTATCTTGTTTGAAACTAAGCAACATTCCAAAAACTTGGCAATTTCTCGATGAAGCGAACGTAAACGTTAGGCGCATTTCATTGAAACCATGCATAAACAAGTGCACTCACATCGATATTTCGTTGTTGAATCCCATGTTTGCCATAGTAAGTCCGGAGTTCCTTTAAATCAACCACGTCATCATCGTTGGTGTCGATTTCAAGAAACAGCTGGACCAAACGCTCTACATCTGGCGATTCTTGCTCACTCATTGTGTGATTGCTTTGACTCGAGTACAGTGATGTCGGTTAAAGTGCCAACCACATTTATACTGTTCACTGTCACGTTTGAAGTCCAATTTGGGGTCAGTAGCTGATTGGTGGTTAGATAGGAAGACCGCACTACGCATGCACCTCATCTGACTACTCTAGTAGGCAAGTTAGCTCGAGTTCGCTGCACCGCACTATGGTCACAAGCAGGGTCGAAGAATGTGTGTGCCCCAGCTGATCAGGCTGCTGGTGTAAGCAAGTTGCTAAGGACAACACCGGAGTAAATGCGTTGGCATGAGGGGAATGTGGTGGCACTATTTTCGCAGTTCATCTGGGAACGCACACAACGTAAGAGCATGTCACAAAGCAAGCGTAAGAATGTAATAAACGGTTTTGTATCCCCGAGGCTGCTATAGATGACGAAAAGCACGACAAGTGGTTTGCAACATTAACAGTCAAAATATCACTATTAACACATGTTGACGCCGCGTAATGTCCATGCCATAAATTTTTACCGATAAATTTGCAATACGCCTAGCATACTAAGGAGGATTGCATGATTCTGTCAATACATTTTAATGACCAAAAGCTCAGTTGTGCGATAACATTACTACCGATTGACCTATTGCCCGTTCACTCGGCACCGAGGTACAGGAACTAGGAACGCATCAAAGGGAAAGGCGGGTAGACAGTGATAGCTGTGAAAGTGTAGTCCAGGATGGAAGGCTGTTGAATCCAACTAGGCTCAAGAAGTCCACTGTGCTGCTTGTCTATCGTCTCTGGCAGACAATTAATCCGTATCGATAACAGAAGAGACCAGATAGTCCAGTTAAACGGGTGATCCAGTATTATCTACACATGTATCCAGTTACCTGGCATGACTGCACCTTTTCCCTCAAATGTGCATAGATATTCTGATCAACTTAATTTATAAACGGAGAAGAGTTCCCCGCTGCAGCTAATATGCACAAAACACAATTTGCATTCCTGGGATGTTGGGGATTTGTCATGTAGGCCGATGAAGTAATAAGGCAAGCAGAAGCGTAGCTTTAAATCATAGATCTTAGTTGTGCGCGTAGATTGTGGTCATAAAACTCCATTTCGATGGCACTTCACTATAAGGTAAATTTTATCAGTCTGCGCACGGGGATCACGTCTAAAGTATAGCTTTTTTAGTGATCCTCCTATTAGTTTCGGACGGAGTTTCGAATTGGAACCCGGGTTACATTGCTTATGATGGTATCCTTCACATCTATGCTACCAAGCTTCGCGACTATCTTTCATAAGTGTATTTAACTGGTCGAGGTTACGAGATATTGACGATACGCTTGTCGAACCGGTACGCAACAAAACAAACCGCGTTTCCGAGGAGGAGATTAATAACAAGATATAATTTTGGATGAGCGATGCATAAAACAATCGGAAGTGGGTACTAGTCATGTGTATCCTACTATTCTGGAACCGACGATCACAGTAGGGTTTCGTGTGAAGCTAAAGTTATTTTGTAGTCAGTAGCTATCCTTCAATTCCAATGTTCGGATAAATGCACCAAGCAAAACTATTTCTAGTAAATTAAAATACACTGGTAGATAATGCACAGTACTCCGTTAGATAACAAGGAAAAAACAGTATAAGTGTGTATCAAGGACAAATTCAAATTGGTTACAAAATCTCGTGGAATTACCGGAATGAGAGGTACAAAATGGGGGAAGTGTAGTGACACAATAAACAACCATTTTGAGAGAATCCTCAATGTTTGCAGGGAGACATACACAAAGGAGCGAACGTCGATTGCGCAGAGAATACTGAGGAGCACACCGTTTGTCGACTTATTTGGACTACCGGTGTGAACGGGTTATATTCCCCAGCGTAAAAGTGTAGGGGGAGGAAGCGGTGTATTTATGGGTGGCGTACCATGGCTAATAATTGAATAAATGGTGTATTGCGAGACATTGCGTGGTCTGATCATAGTGAAGAAAATTATTTAACCGTAACAATTGCAACAATTGTTGGGAGTTTGCTATAAATTGAAAGTAGTGCAACAAAGAGCTGATAGTGATCATAATTGTAAGAATTGTCATCAGTTCAGGTAAACTAACACAGTCATCCATGGAATCGAAGAAGACGAAAAGCTGGGTGGCTTTCCATCTGGTCAGTAACCCCTCAGGAATGTGTTACGACTAAGTTGCAAAAGATAGTGGTAAATGGGATAAGAGTTCCCTTGGATCTAGTAATCCATTATGTGACCAATCCATGGGCGCCGATACTGGCGGCTGTACAATCCTGAATTGAGGTTGAAGGTCTTTAATGTTCTTGGTCGCTTCTACAACTGAATAAATAAATAAATAAACGTTTCATTCCACGACAGTGTTAAGCACAGATCAATTGAGTGGTCGTATCGACATGTACAACGTGATCGCATAATGTAGTTAATTTCACGTATTTGGTTCAATGGTTCCCATAAGGGTTTTTGAAGTGATTAGAAATTGGAAAATAGTAGTGAGGCTAAGAAACTGGGGACAATAATAAATGTAGATTTCACGGAAAGTTCAAGTAAATAATACGGTCATTCATGGATTCCTGATCGCTGCGAAACCTTGTTTCCGCCAGGCCTGTTCCACATGATGTCACAGGTAGGTGCTTGGTATCCGCAGACACATGGACTGATCAAATCATTGGAACGCCATCCGCAGGTCAATATGTCGGATCCCTATCTGACACCTCAAATTGCTCTGGGAAGCCAAAGTTGTAAACAAAGCTTTCCAGGAGAATGTGTATATATATTCTGTTTCGTCGATGATGCATTGAGTTGGAACAGACCATCCATAAAAACTTCAGGTCTCATTGGCGCACTTCGTGATTTCCCTGGCCGTCCATCTCTACCATGTTCTGAAATCTCCAGCATGGTGTTCGAAAGTTGAAGCGAGCAGAGAGCAGTGTCACTAACGAGCAAAAGGAAGAGAAGCGGACCCAACACTGGCATTCCCGGAATTCAGCACTCAATATGGATCAGATAGGGCAATGCACTCCGAGTTCTAATCTGTAGTTGTCACTGATGCAAACTATCCCGATCCATAGAAGAGCAGGATCCGTGGCTTTGGAGCCTGTGAAGAAGGGTGTAATGAAGCAAGTTGTCAAAGACTTTGAACATTTCCCGTCTAACTGCCGGGCAGTTAGAAGGTTGGCAGTGCATAAGTAAATTCCAACAGGGTGTAACGACCGTCCAGTGAATTACCGCATATGTGATATAAATTTTACTGAGTCTGGTTATGACGAATTCTCTCATAAGCACCGACAGAAGAAGTCTGTCGTCCGTGATCATTTCACTTGATAGCCGCGAAATTAAATTGCTGAAGACTAAACTGATTTGATAGCAACGTGGCTCAACTGTTTCTTCAAGAAATGAGGTACGGCCTGTACAGTTAAAGTATCTTACGCGATAATTTGACTAACGTATAGTACAGCCACAAGGTGAGCCACTTTAATAAGTATGGCCCTACCAAAATGCCAGTAAACGGATTCAGTTCAGCTGAATAAATCATTACAGCGATCAGTACCATCGGTTTGTCGACAGTGTTAAACCGATTCCCCAGATCAAACGTTGACTATGGTCTGCCACGCATCGCCGATGAAGTCGAGTCATACTTTTAGTTCCCGCTAGAAACACATTTAGGAAAACAGAATGTTCAAATAGAATAAAAACATCGTTTGAGTTCCAAATCATCTTGTTCGGAATCTGTTTGTGAAAACCACCCAGATTGGGAGAGATGCTGAAAGGCAAGAAGCTTTGGGATAAACATTAAGCAAGCTTTTAATTGGTAGAGTGGAGGATTGATTTACTCCAGATGTAGTCATTTACGAAAACAGGAAAACCGAATAGGCGCGGCCATTAAGCGAAAGTACCACAGTCTGTTTGCCGCACACGCATTATGTAGACCGCAGGGGGGGGGTCAAATTGACAAGGCTAGTGTCGGACAAAATCCGAATATTTTACTGCTCTTCAGCACTGAGAACTGAGACACTCCAACGTTAGCACCATTGTCAACAACAGAAATATATAGGTAATTCGCCTCGATGCTTCGTTGCCGCATACCAACAGAAACTAACAGCATTAAGGAAAAACAATACCACGGGAGAATAAGGACTTTACGATTATGCATATATTGGTGTGTCTTGATGTTGTCGTGAAAAATAACCTATTTATTTCGGTATTGCTCTCCCTCCCAAAATTGCACTCCGCAACCGACCGGCTTCGTACTGATTTCGACTCGTCTGGTAGAGATATCTAGAGCTGGGAGTAGAACGCGACACATAGTGATTGGCGGCTATTGCCATGATCACTAGGCCATTGAGCTCCACGAGTAGTGTACGACAATGCAGTTTGAAATTAAGTGTTGAGTTTTAAAGTACCCGGAGTGTGTGTTTAAATTGGGACACACGATCTCTATTGAGGTCACAGTGGACTCTGATGTTGACTTCTGCCATTTCGAGCACAGGGACCGTAATCGAAGTACTGAGTTTCAATCCTAGCTCAATCTAGTTCCCCTTGATAGAGACGGAACTTCTAACCGCTGTGTCAAGTGTTGCGCGCGGGGCCCAATTGTTTAGTGTGCAAGGTGTTAGCAGTCAACCGTTGTGTTGTGTGTTGCCCTCAGTTTAGGTTATCCCTACCTGAAGACTCCATCCGGGCCGAAACCGGGGTTGAATGCAGTGCCGGGAGAGAGCAACGTTGCAATAAATCCACCGGATGCGGTCCCAATGATCGAAATGGCAACCTCAATTGAGATTGTATGTCGCAATCCACACACACACACGGCGGGTACGTTAAAACACAACAAGCAACTTATTTATTGGCCGGAGTCAAATCGATGGGGAGGCTCCCAGCTGTCCAACAAGCACTCGCCCGTTCCATTCCATCACTAGGTCCAACAGCTACAGAGAAATTGTTGATTACGTTGTGAACCCTTCTCATTCACGAGGCCAATAACTTTCGCCGCCCTCCATTTCAGTCGGTGCGATCAATCAACCTGCTCTGCACGACATCGGCACACACCCCTAGTCCACACCAGCCGCCATACCCACGGTTGTATGATGACCAGATGCAAC